TAAAATAATCTCATTGGCAAAACAGTAAAAAATTACTAGGCACCAGTTGATATGAGTGGTGTGTACAATCAGAACTGTAGGCAAACGGGATCCTCCCTTAATAGAGCATCATGATACTATATTAATTATATTAGTAATATTTTTTTAGCTAAATTTCATGAACGATTCATCTTTTTTCTTTTTTTCGTTACGAATTTTCTGGTGCAGAAATAAAAACGGAACCCGACGTTCCAAAAAAGAACACGAAATATTGTTTTCAATCCAAAATAGAAGACACATCAGTAGCTTCTAGTATTAAGGAAGAAGCGCCAGCTGAGGCATCTCTAAAAGAAACGTTTAAAGATGTTCCAGTCGAAGCTGCAACAAGTGAAAGTAACTATAAAAATAAAAATGCATATACAAGGTTTCGAATAAATATCGAATATAATAGTTGATTTTCAGTTTTCATATTTCACCATTAAATATCTTGATTCCGCTAGAAAACAATTTATAAGTAATGTTGCAAAAACTGTAAACATTTAAAATATATATACAGGTTTAAATCTCTCTTTACAGTAGCTACAAGATATTTCAAGATTTTTTTAAACAGATTTCTGTAATTTCAAATCTGTAATTAACATTCTAATTCATTAAGTTCTATCATCGTTAGACTCATAATTAAGCAGACTTTTATTCTATTAAATCGCGCAATTTTGTAATAAATAATAAAATAGCTGTCCAAATAAGAATTTATTATTTTTGTTTACAGGTAAGAAGAAAAAGAAAAAGAAAAAAGAAAGCGAGCAGCTGCAACAAATAGTATCTGCTGAAGAGGTGGAGGAACCAGTTTCAAGCGAGAAAAAGAAAAAGAAAAAAAGAAATCAAAGCAAGAAATTTAAACCTCGACAATTTCGAATAAATAGGTATAAAGAATAAGAATATTTTTAATTAAATACGAAAGCTAAAGTAAAGAAGCTAGAGAAATCTGAGATTTGCTATCGAAGTATTTTTTTCTCAGGACTACATTTTAATTAAAAATCAAAGTTGGCGAATAGGATCATTAATCGAGATAATAGCTTAGTCTAAGCATCAATATTCTATATATTAACAAGGATTCATGTAAAATATTGTATAGTTTTCTCATAAATACATTTATGCATAAACGCTTCATTTTTTTTCGCCAATGTTACTATATTTTTTCTTCTTTTTCTTAGACACAGTAGTTGGCTCCGTCTTTACTTGTTCCTCTTCTTTAACATTAGAAGCTCCTGCTATGTCTTCAGTTTTGAGTTTTAGACTATGTTTTTTCTTTTTCTTCGGTGTAGTAACCGACTCTATTTCCGTTTGCGGTTCTTCCTCCTTCATTTCTTCCTTGATCCGTTCAGAACTCATGCTATATTTCTTCTTCTTCTTTTTAGGCACTTCCTCGCTCTCCTTTGTTTCGATCTCTTCAATTAATGGCCTCTTCTTAGTTGTCAGTGTTGAGTCTACAGATGTTGAATACTGCATGTATTCGTTTTTGACTTGATATTTTTCGAATTTGGCCTTTGCTTTGGCAGTGCCACTTATCCGACGGATATTACCTTCTTCAAGCACTCTTAATCGTGCCTCCAATTTCACTTTGTGCTCCGCGCCAAGTTCGAAGCTTGTAGTATCTCCCAATGCATCAACTCTTGTTGCTAAAGAGGCTTTTGCTGCCAACATTCTGGATATTTTACCCTTGTTTTTGTTGGAGGCTTGTCCAACAAGTAGTGAATGATATATCAAGCCATACTTGGGTGTGTTCTTCTTCGATTTAAGAGCACGGAACAGTGCCTTCTCTGCACCGAGAATTTGTAAAGTAGATGCTGGATGTTTAGCAAGATTTGTTAGAGAACCGGCCTTAGATATCAGACGCGCACCGATCAGATCGCCGACGAGAACTGTCAGGTTTGGTGCTAATACCATCATCCTAGTCTTCAGATAATCGCACAGCTGGGATCGGTATTGATGAAGCTTAAGTATCTCAACACATAAGCATTGCATGTGTTCAGCGTCGTATTCCGAGATCTCTGAGCCCATCGAGGTTTCCGCCGCCTCCTTCACTCTCCCCTCGACTTCCTCTGTCAGAATATCTGACAGATCACATTTGATAGCGTTCTCTCGTTGGCCAAGTATATGCATCGTCTTTATATACTGAAGATTGTCAGTCACGATTTTGCCTAGCTCAGGAAAGTGCCAGCCGTACCATTCGCGCGCTCGCATTATGTAATTATTGAGCTCCTTATCCAGATCATCCAGCAAGCATACTGCCTGTATTACCATGGTATCGACTTTGTCGGGTGAGAACTTCAGCTTGTATCTGGAAAGATTGTGCGCCAGGCCCAGTGTCATGGCTGTCCTGTCTTTCTCGGTCACCCCACTTATCAAACCATCCAATTGACTTCTGATGCATCGCATCAACTCCTGCACTGCCGTGTTGCTTACACAGGATAACTGCAGCTTATCCTTGATGGCACAGCCCAGTTTGGCATCTGCAACCGCCAGCTGTTCATGAGCCTCGATGCAGCAGTTCCTGAGCGTTTTCTTCAAAGATTTGGATAACTTGCTGTTTACAAGCGCCGTAGCGGCGCATAATGCTTCGGTGGTGTCCTCAAACTTGTGAAAGTACGTTAACTTAAGTCTGTAAAGCAAAAAATATATGAGGACCATGATACATCAAATAAAATAGTACAACTGGGGCTATAAGAAGTAATAGGTTTGTTTTTTATTGCTACATAAAACATATACTTATTTCACTTTAAGTACAAAAAGTGTACACTAGTTCAGCTATAAAAAATAAACCTATAGATTCTTGAAAGAAAAACTTACAATCTACTGGCGGCTTCTGGAGTCTCAAAGTCCTTGTAAAGATCCTCCGACTGGGCGAGTTTGTTTTCATCTAGAACCTACAAGCGAATTGTCATTTAAATCTATAATATACAATATGTAATAATTGTAAAAGACAATAGGATCAAATAATTTATAAAATTAAAAATAAAACAAAGGTTACGAGCCAAGCTATATCTTAATGCTGGATTAACTACAAAAACATAAGTTTACTAAAACAAACGTTTCGACCCCTATTGGGTCATTCAACAATGTTGAAATTAAATACAATTTGAAATCAATGACTCAATTGAAAAACAATAACTTGCCAATACATATGATGACTTACACGGTAAATGTAATAAAATATAAATTTATCATCGCATATGTACAATTTCGTTATGGATGGTTTGGGGCAATATCCTTCCTATCCTTCCTAGCTCCTTCCTATATAAAAAAAGTCATGGAAACGCGAGAAGTTTGCGTTTTCGGCCGAAACGTATTGCTCGCATTATTGACCCTTTTCCGCGCTCGTGATTGGCGGTCGAAGTCGACGATCGAGTGCGCGGCGAGTTCGCGTGTGTAACGGCCGATGACAGCTGTATCATATATACGAGGTTATTTTATATAAAATCGGTGACATGCTTATTTAATATATATGAAAAAGTTAATGATAAAGTTAATGATAAGGTTAATGTCAAGGCCCGTCTACAATACACGGAGTAAGAAGAGTAAAAAATTGACCAATCACAGTCGAATGTGAGAAGAATAATCGACTGTGATTGGTCAATTTCTTACTCTTACTTCTTACTCCGTGTATTGTAGACGACGCCTTAAGTTTAATGATAAAGTTATATGTAGACGTATCTGAGAACCGTATTTATAATAGTTTCTCGCTGCATGCGTAATTATTTCGCAAGCTAAAGACAAATGAATTTAATGATTTGTTTTTCATAAAAGAGTAGTGGATTAAAATTGATGTAAACGTTTAATAGATAGACGAATTAAAATCCACTTTTCTAGGATATTCTATATATGAAGATTATCTTTTTTTAAAATTGATTATATAACTTTAATATAATTCAATATTCTATTTATTTTGCACGTTAAAAAATTAAAGTAATGTTATAGAACAGATAATGTTATAGAAAAATATATATATAGTTAATAATATATTTTAATATGAAGAGTAAAATGTTTAATTAACTCTGTTCATTAATTTTTTCATTAATAATTATACTCTGACACTTTTATATGCCTAATAATGAGAGATAAATTAATTAATATAATAAAATATTATTTAAATTATGCGAGTTTTGTAATTTTTATTTAAGGGGAGGGTGGTCTAAATCGGATCTATTTGCAGTTTTTGTTTTCTATAAGGTGTAAATAATGTCCCCCCCGATCATAAAACCAATGGTGCCGTTCGAAAGATCATTTAATTTCCTTCATTTTTGCTTCAGACTATTGTGATGTATCTCTTACCTGTGTTGAACTATAATGGAAAATGTAAAAATGCATTTTTTTGTCCGACTTGGAACTATGAATTCCAAATCGGACCTCTCTTATTTTTATGGAATTTTAGATAGAATTTTAAAATATTGTAATTAATTTTTGTGTTACTATTGAGTAAAAACGAGCCATTTAAGACTCAAATAAGTTAAAAAATTTACCGTGTCAAATTTGTACGTGTATACGTTTGGCAGACGTGCACCAGAAAATAGACGATCACACGCACACATACTCGCATGCAGTGGTTCTTCGTGCGAAGCTCTGAACGTTCGGGTTACACTGATAACATACATACACTTATCGGCCGAGGCCTGTAAGTTTTCTACTGTACTGTATAGGTCCGAATTGGACACTCAAAGAGAGGTCTGATTTAGACACGGGTTCTTTCGAACTATTAGAACAAATTTTACAATAAATCGCAAAAGTAATCACAAAACTCTTGATATTTTTGAATTCTACAATTCTCTTTAATTATTTTGAATCAATTACTGCTCAAATGTTTAACATCTTTTAAATAATAATTTACAAGGATTTTCTTTTTTAAAAAAATTTTCGCATGATAGCCGAAAATACATATTTTGCGTCTATTTTATGAACGTTATGACAGAGTACTGCCAAACTGCTGTCATATGTTCGGTGTCTTATAAGCACGCAAATCTGCTTAACCGTATTTATTTAAATTAAAAAGGTCTTATTTGGAACACAGAGAGTCTGAGTTAGGACATTCTCCCCTATATAGAAATCCCCTCTATGAGCTAAAAAAAGTGAACAACTTTTTATTCACTTCGTAAGTCTCTAACGTATCAAAAAAATTTTTTTTAATTTTCAAATATTTTTTGTGAAAGCTTGAATTTTTCCATATAAAATCGTTTTTTAAAAATATTCTTACAATTTTTTGTTCCTAAATTACTCGTGGATTAAATAAAAAGGAACATTTTGACTTTAATTACTCATAACTACGTTAAAAATTATGATATCTCAATTAAAAATACAGATTCTTAAAGTTAAAATGTTGTTTTATATTAAATTGTATATGCGAATTAAAAAAAAATATATATACAGGGTGAGTCATTTTAATTAACGCACTAAAATATCTCTTGAACAGTGCATTTTCAAGAAAAATGTTTCAGACAAAAGTTACATGGTTTGGAGGGGGACATAAGATGGTGCTACTGGTTTGACCTTGGAAAGTTGTTTGAAGGTTATGTAAAGGTCATCATCAATTTCTTAAGTGGAATTCCATATATTTCATTGCACATTCTTGTAGCTTATCTCGAGAGCTTTCCAAAACACTATAATTAAGTTCATTTCCATTAAGTACTTTTCAAGTTATAAGGCTTGCAAGTTACAGCACCGCCAGCATTTAAGTATTACCCAAGGGTTCGATCGACGGCTAAAATCTTTTGAATGTTGTTCAGGATCATGATCTGGATAATATTATATCAAGATCAAGACCATTAGAGGTTGTTCCTCTTATTTTCATTTTTGCACTAAAAATTACATTTCTACGTAAAAATGCAAATTTTTTCCAGGATTTCATTTAATTTTGTGATTCAGATTCTTGCCTTATAATAATTTCTTATTTACTTATATAATATATATTAATGTAACTAATTTTGTATGGCTTTTATTATAATGGTAATGTAATTTCGAAATGCTAATTCCTTTTTGCATTCATTTCCTCTTTTATTTGCTCGTAATTCTTATTTAATTGGAAGTAATTGTTTTTATTGGAATTGAAATTGATTTTCACTTGGATTACAATTAATTTGGATTCAAATTGTAATTGGTTTTTATTGGATTTAATTTTTATTTTAATTGGAATTGATTTCGAGCTGAATTGAAATTAGTTTTCACTTGGATTGAAATTAGTTTTGATCTAAATTGAAATCTATTGTAACTTGAATTAAATATACAATCGATTTAAATTGATATTAACTTTGAATTGAATGAAAATTATTTGAAAGAAAATTGTTATCGAATGAAAATTTTAACTGAAATTTAAAACTGGCTTTGACTTGGAATACAATTGGCTTTGACTTAAACTGAAATTGATTATTTGGATTGAAATTATGCCTCGAAGAAAAATAGTTCGAACAGTTGAAGAAGAGGAAGAATTTCAGCGTATTAAATGAGAAAGAAAGACAAAATGACAGGCTAAAAAACGGGAAAAAGAACGAATGATGAGAAATACAGATTATCAATCTTCGTCAGATATTAATGAGATTTCTTTAAATTTACCACAAACTTCTTCAAATTTTGCTAGAATGATAATAATAGATTCTCTGGGTACCTATCATGAAATATGTCGGAATGGATTCCGATCGGAATTATTCCGTTTTCCCTAGGAAACACAATAGAAATCTAGGAAATAATTGAATAATTCCGATCGGAATCGATTCCGACTTGTTCTATGATAGGTACCCAGGACTCTTCATCATCTATGAAAGTGGCATATCCAATAAGCGAATCAGTTATTACTGCATTACAAGTAATTGACACAACACCTACGAGGGTCGTCTGAAAAGTTTTGAGCCTCATCATGAAGATGACGTTACTCGTCAAAGCCATTCTGGGCACCTATTATGGAAATGCTAGGAATGGATTCCGATCGGAATTATTTCGTTTTCCCCAGGAAACACAATAGAAATCTAGGGAATAATTGAATAATTCTGATCAGAATCTATTCCGAACATTTCCATAATAGGTACCCTGGTATTATAATCGTGATACAAAAGATATCTGTGACAATTGTGGCCACTTTGGACGTTCAGTTCTTGTTTGACAATCATTTGTGTCGTCATTTTGTAAAAATGGAAAAAATTAAATATCATGCTATAATTAAATTCTTGCATTTGAAAGGCAATACGTCTACGCAAATTAAAGCCGAGTTGGACGCTGTTTACGGGGACTCTGCCCCATCATTTGCCACCATGAAAAGATAGGTAGCTGAATTTAAACGTGATCATACCAGCTTAGCTGATCATGAGCGTTCGGGACGGCCAACAACTGCGACCACCACCGATAACATCGAAGAAATTCAACAAATGATAATGGACAACCGTCGAATTAAGATTAGGGAGATAGCAGAGGCTGTTGGCATATCAAAAGAACGTGTTTGTCATATATTGACTGAAGAATTAGGCATGCGTAAGTTAACCGCGCGTTGGGTGCCGCGCTTGCTCACTCTGGATCAAAAACGCATTCAAATCAACATTTCTAAGGCCCTGTTAGAGCGGTTTAAGCGAAACGAGTCGGATTTTTTGCGTCGATTAATAACGGTTGATGAAACTTGGGTCCACCACTTCACTCCTGAAACGAAAGAACAATCAAAACAGTGGACTGCGAAGGGTGAACCTATTCCGAAGAAAGCGAAGACGGTTTTATCGACGGGAAAGGTGATGGCGACTGTTTTTTGGGACAGTCATGGAATTGTGTTGATCGACTATCTTGAAAAAAGTAAAACAATAACAGGAACGTCCTATTTTAATAAATTGAGCAAAAACGACCGCATTTGAAAAAGAAGAAAGTGCTGTTCCATCAAGATAAAGCCGCGTATTCACCTAGCGAACGAACACCGAACGAACAGCGAACGCGAACATTCGGACGTTCGCATTCATGTTCGTAGTTCGTTCGTACATTTTTCCCGATTGCATCGAACACGGGCCGAACACCCATTCGATCTTGATTCGGTGTTCGGGTCATTGTTCGCTATAACCTTATTGCTTGTAACAATTAATATTTTTATTTTATAACAGATATCTTTTTCGAAAAAGCCAATACGATAAACTTTATTTAAAAAGTTTTCAACTTTGTTATCTGTACAGAATATTAATACACAGAAAAGCACAGAAAAGGTTATGGTGATTCAGACGAATAGCCAAATAACGAACACGTGATTTGCACGTTTACAACGCGCACGAATCGCGCACGAATAGTCTTTGATGTACCGCTTC